ATATTTGTATGCTTACACATTGTGTGAAATATAAATTTTGTCTTATTATTCAATTAAATTGTCAATTAATCTTACAATTTATTTTAAAAATTTATTCTATATTATGAAATATATTTATTTTTATAGTAAACAATAATTTACACATATGAGTATTTTCTTCTTATTAATGTACAAAATGTATATTGTTTAATAACATTTAATAACCGCAACGACGGCATGATTTTAAATTCAATTATTTTAAACTTTTATTTAACTTTTGAGCTCCTTTCATAATGCTAAAAACAATGTGAATAAGTATAATTATTCTAATAATCATATTTCTGATTTTTTTTATAAAATAGTTTTAGAAATGCATCATCACATTTACTGTATTCTCTTCTTATTAAGTGTATGCATCTAATATTAAAACGTCACTAAGCAATTACATAAATATTCTTACACTACATTGTTAAATAATATCAATTAACTTATTAATTTGACATGTAATGCCGTAAAAATATGTTGCTTTCAACAAAACGTATGTAAAAAACAATTTTCAATTAATTCAATTATCTTTATACCTTTTATTAATTTAATAAAATTCTGAAATTTTTAATTTCAATATTTATACGCATTTTAAAGACTAAAAAATCAAGAAATCACTTCAATTTAAACGTTTTATATATCTAATGATTCAAAAAATAATAAAAAATATGCATATAAGCCAGATAAACCAGAACAGCAAAAACATTCAATATCAGACTTCTTCAGAACATTTTAATTCAACGTGTGTAGCTTGAATACATTAATTTCTTCTTTCATGAATTTATACATTAAATGGTCGCTTTATGAGCCACTTACATTTTACAATAATGTTTTTAGATGAATTAAAAATTCATAATAAAAAAAATTGCTTTAGTATAGCGTAAAAGAGTAAAAAAAAATACTGATGCGCGTTACATAAGTATCTGATTAACAAATAAATGTATTATAAAACATAGATTTGCGGGTATCAACGTTGTAAATTTAATATTTTTATTTGAAAATATGAAGTTAAAATCTGATGAACAATGAAAAAAATTAGTAAATCAATTTTTTTTTTTTTTATGACGAGAAGAATTTAGATTGAAGCTTTAAAATAGGAATAACATAATCTTGATTTTACTTAATTATCGATTTGACTATAAATATTTTCTAAAATATAAAACTGTTGTACAGTTTTCCAGCATCGAACGTAGCATTTATAAAACATTAATGTGATTGTTATTTGTATTGAAATTCAATTAATAAAAGAAATACGTAATACGATACTCTCTTATCCATATTGCATTTTAATAAAAATAATCGAGCTAAACTGTTGCCAATCAATTTTTATATCAACAAAAATTAAATTCTCTTTTTTTCGCATTCACAATGTGCATCCGCGTGTTGAATAATTAGATTTTCCTTAGGGAGTTGCGTTATTATACGGCATTCATAAAGCATGTTCCGTCATCGTAATGATAAAATGAGAACTTCACCTATATTTTATGTTTGTTTATTACTCCATATTACCATAAAAAATATACGAATACTAATTATTTCAAAACACAAGAATGAAATAGTTTTTAGATAAGTTACAAAACAATAATTGTTTAGTAACGAGGTATGAAAAATAATTTTCTTTACACTTTTTTATTACTATAAATACAAAGATACTTTTTGCATAATTAAAATCCTACTTGTAAAGACCTCATAAAGTTTAACATTAAAAACATAATCGTAAGAATATTAAAATTCGAATTTAATATTATATAGTCATATTTTCGGAGAACTAATATATAATGTGTAATACATAATGGATGAACACTCACACACTTAAAAACAAAACGCGCACGCGCATATAAGCAAGCAAAGAAACAATTAAACAAACACATACAAGACTTATAGTTAATCATAGTTTAATAATAACATGAACAAATTTTCTCCACGTTCTGTTTAAATTTATATAAGTTCACGACATGATAAAATAACATCTTTCGATTCTACTACTAAAAGACTTCAGTGTGGGCGTGTGTGGGTGTCCCTTATTGTTTTATTTCATACTTATTAATGTATTAACATTTAAATTCGTACAATCTCATGTAATTGTACATTAATTTAAAAGACAAAAAATTGCGATAGAATTGTTTCTATGATTATAAAGGTACGAAGAGAATATGCTTTTTCATTTCTGTAATTTATAATGTAAAGTTAAATAATGCAATGGCTAATATGGATGGTATATTTAACGTTGAAAAATTTCTATACAACGTTTAAATATCTATGCGATTAAGTTTAAAATTCTATATGTTTATAAGCCAGTGAAACGACAATTGAATTTTTGTATAATAAAATATGCTTTTCGTTAAATATAAATATTAGATCATAATAGGTTAAAGTTTTATTTTTGACGTGGTTGAATGTAATTTATTTACTTTTATATTGGGTCCTATTCTTTAGATTAATAGATCAATCGTCATTGTGAAATTAATTTTTCTTCAAAGTGTAATTTAATGTCTTCGGGTAGAAAAAAAAAAATATTAAACCCCAATTGGATAAGCGCAGGCTTAGCCATTAAATATAATTTTTATATAGAAATAACATAAGCTTTTTCCGGCATTAAAGGTAAATTAAATCACAAAAATTGCCGTTGCATACTAGGTTAATGAATAACGTAACAACTTTAAACACCATCCGTATATTCAGCCATTGTTAATACTCAACAAGAGAAAAATTAGTAACAAGAATATGGAATTCCTGGCCAATCCGTCCGATTAGCGTTTTACGCGATTTCCTCAAGCGGAGCGCTGTCATTTGGAAATCGATACACCACATTACGTCGATAATGGGAAGTCCTTGACCTAGCACCTTGGCACTCATTCTACTATCCTCACCCCTCCTCCTCATCCTCCTCCTCCTCCTCTTCCTCCTCCTCCTCCTCCCAACCCCCAAGTCGCTCTACTCTCATCACGCCTTGGTGCCTCGGACAATCGACTGAACGGCAAGGCGTCGCCGTGTCGTAAAACTATTCCCAAGCCGCCTCGAATACTCGAGCACTTGACTCATTCCGCAAAAAAGAGACGTAAAAATAGTACGCGTACGCAGTTCGAGGCAACTTATGGGTAACACCTATATTAACATTGTGCATGCGCTGATTACGACGGATAAGACTAATGAACGTAATCTTTATCTTTCTTTCGTCCTTCTCTTTCGTCTGTTGTTATTGCTCATTTTTCATAATCGCGTGTACTTACGCTCAAACTCACCGTTCCGTAATTTTGCCGCTATGCTGTCTCGCTGCCGACACCTTATAATTAATATCATCCTAAATTATTAATTGAAATGTTATCGCGGTGTCTGGATATTTCAGTCATTACATAATTATCAAAACGTTAATGCCAAGTGAATAAATATTATTGTATGAGATGAGAAAGTATTTGCAACGTATGGCTAATTCGTGTAGCATTCGGTCGCAATTTATAAGGATTAGAGGATGAGAAGGGAGAGGATGCCGTAACAAAGTTTAGCTTTTCGAAAATGATCGTTCATGATTCGATCTAAAATCTATTGTCAATTACATCAATCTGATCCTTTTATAATAGACAATAATATCTATTATAAGATACAATTAGCTAAATAAACGCCTTAATATTAATTTATATTCATGGCTTTTTATGAATTTATTAATAAATAAAATCTAGTCTAGCATAATAAAGTACTAGACAAATAGATTATGTCAGAATTATGTAGAATTGTGATTGTGATATTCTGAAAATTATATTATCGAAGATGGGCAACACAAAAATGACTGAAACAGGCAAAATAAGCAATAAAAGCAATAAAACTAATTAATGGTTAATTCAACATCGTTAATATACGACTCGTAATGATGTTTTAATTTAGAAATTTTTTGAACTTGTCCTTAGAAAATGTATTTACATCCACTTAAAATCGTATTGAATAATAAAAAAGAATAGAATAAAAGTGGTCTTTCACGTGATGATAATAAATTAAAATGCTAAATATGAGTTAATGTTGAAGTAAATTGGTAAATTTAGTTTCCAAATATTGTAATATACATATGAATTTGTAGCAACTAAAATTGTTGACTAAATTAAAATTTATGCATATGTACTTGTTGCCGCGAGTTAATCAACGAATACCAATCGATGTTCTATTCTATTAGTAATTATAGATAATTCCTAATTCCTTGATCAGAAAATAATTTGAGATTTCACCTGCACGCTATTATCATCGACAATAAATTCTGCTTCAAAAGTGTTTTTTTTTTTTTTTTTTTTTTTTTTTTTTTTAATGAACAGAAAACGATCGGAAGTCCAAATGTTGTCATCTAAAATTAAATGTACTTCATCAGTACTGACAATTTTACAAAAGACAATAGTTAGGCGCAAACCCAATTACGTGTGGAGTTTCGTTTCGTAAATACCACGTAAAGACAATAGGAGAGAAAGAACAGAGAGAAAAGATGAGTCCCGTGTGAGGAGCCAACATACGGGAAATGAAGGAACCACGAAAGGAGCTAATTAACGGCGCTCTACTTGCTTGCCAAAATTCCCGTCTCACTGTCACAAACTCGCTCGCATATTTTGTTTTATCCCCCCCCCCCCCGCTAAATGACGCCCCGCCCACAGTTTCGCTCTAATTTCTCGGCATCTAAGTGTCTTCGGGCGTCCTTCGCCATAACCGAGCCCGAACGACTCGGCTGTTTGGTAATAACTCGGCCGTCAATTCCAAAGTTTCATTGATACTAGAAAAAAAGGAGTCTACAGCGCAGCCGCCGACGCCACTGCAGCACCAGTAGCACCAGCATCAGCACCAGCACTGGCACCAGCATCAGCCGCCACCGCGAGACCTTGAATTACACAACGCACAGCCAGCGTTCGGATTGTCCCCCCAGCCAAGCAGCTTACGGGCGCACCACGACGACCCGAAGAACGGGACGAGCACACGCCCCGTACTATAAAAGTCTAGCGGTACATGCCGCTGGTTATCAGTTCGTGTCTTGCTCCCCGCTCGCCAACTATACCATTGTTGGGAATACAGTGAGACTGGCCCAGACGAAGATGTACACTGAGGTACGAGAACACGATCTGGTGGTGCACACGGGGCCGCTTCCACCCCGAGACGGTTCCGCTTAGGTCTACCCTCGACTCCTCCAATTCGGCTCTGCGATGGTCGCCAATTGTGCCGCTTACCGATACAAACGATCCAAGCTCCCCGCTAGCTTTTTACGGGCGGGATATATGATTATTTCGCGTGTAAATTATTCACGTGCGTTTTGTTGCATACGGGGCCCCGGGGCGAGGGTGGGACGATGGCGGGGGAGGAGCGGGGGGGGGGGGGGGGAGGAGGAGGAGTAAAAGCGAGAGTCGGAACCAAATGGGAAGTTGTAGTTTTATGACGAGGGCTGGGTGGATATTTCAAGGGCTTAATTTAGGTATGCGCTCTTCTTTATTTTACTTTCCTAATTTAATAACGAAACGACGTTATTGGTAAGCAAGGTGTAAGCAAGGATACCCGCTGAATTTTGTTAATTAGTGAATTTATTGTTTATTGCGGGGCAGCTTATAAATTAAGATAGCAAGGATTGCGTGTAATGTTTTCGCGTTTATCATAAAACGTAGAGATGTAAAAGAGAAATTTTAAGATATCAGCCGGTACGTAAGAATGCCACGCGATGCAAAGGATACGCGGCAGGATTTAGACGTCAACGAAGATTTATAATTGCATCGGGACAGAACAAAACCGTTATGCTCGTCCAATTGTTAGGGACAAAACAGTGTGATTGGTGCTCTTTCGAGAAAGAAAGAAAAATTAAGAAGAAGAACGTTTCAATTGCAAGTAAAACAAATGACTTTCCGATGAGAAGTCAAATTATTATTTTAACGCGATAGACTCTTAGACGTGGAGTTCAAGCATTGTGCAAAAATTTCACTTCGTGGCTTAATTTTTAAATTAAAATTTCGAAATCACTTGAAGTTATTAGCATGGAAATACCAATATAGAAATATTTTTTCAATGTACAGCTTTGCAAATCCTGCAACTCGCATTTACTTGTCCTCTTATTAATGAAACTCCCTTATTCTCTCATCATATTGCAAAATCTTGAATTATTTTCAAATAATAGATTTTAAAGTAAGTCAAGATTTTGCAGTCGGATGAAGGAACAAGAGAGCTGCAAATGTTTTTTTAAATGGACTTCAAAGCTGCATGTCTTCTTTGTTTCTGTGCTACGTAATACATTTAGTAAAATGCTCCGTCGAAGCAGAATTAAATTGTCGTTAATGAAACTTTGACATAAAGTGAACCATCTACTAACCATCCGATTAAATTTATATAAAAATACTCCATACAATTATTTTACAATTATACAATTATAAAAAATATTATTCATTTTGCGTAAATTATTCATCAAAGTTAAAAAAAAAAAAAAAAGAAGCTCTTCAATAAATATCTCATATCTCATCAATAAATACTTAAGTCTTTGAGTAGATTCTTCGATCGCTTACTAATGATCTACGAAGCCCCGAGATATCTCGTTGCGTGACATATTGAGTGCATTGTAGATGTCAATATCATATATATTTCAAAACTATCCTTACGCGTCATTAAACGCACAAGAGAATCCTGATAAACTAATCAAATCCAGATCACTGTTCGTTTCTCACGAAAAGCGATCCCACCCCACCCCCACTCGCCAAACTTCACGAGGCCGTAACATAATAACTCGGCTCTTCAGACTTTTCGTTTGCCCGCTGCTCTATGCTCTAGCGAGCCCCGGTGATTAACTCCTCCCCTACAACGGCCCCCGCACACACAAACCCGCGGCGATCCCAGTGACATACCCAGCAATTTCTAGAGCACCATTCTTCTGACCATCCTGGCGTGGGCGAGCGCAGGCGTCGCACCCGTCGCACCAGTCGCACCCTACGGCGGCCTCTACGACGGCAATCTCAACGTCCCGGGCTACCCTCTGGCCCATGGCAACAGCTACATCAACACACACTACGGCCCCGGCCTCGGCCACGACAAGATCTACTACCCTCCAGCCTCGCTTCTCACTTATCACCAGCCCATTCCCAACTACGGGGGTCACGGCCACGGTTATGGCTACGGCTACGGCTATGGCTACCCCGCCACAGGCTACGGCTACGGCTACCCCGCCACAGGCTACGGCTACGGGAACCACCATGATAACTACGACCACCACGACGACGGGGAGCATTACGATGGGCACCATGACGACCACCATGACGATCAGCACGTGAGAGAACCTCCTCCTAGCAATCCCTCGAACATGACATTATCGCAGCCTAGCACTTAAATTTTGAGCCTTAAGTTTTCCATTCTGAGAATGTCGCGTTTCCATCACCCAGTACCCGTCAATTTGAGTCAACTTGAATGCACCCCAGTAAGCGGATAACAATCAGTCCCGAATTTTTAAGATTTTTCATAGCTATTTGGATTTGATCGCGAAAGCTCGTGAAGTCCCCAAGCTTAAAATTAAGCGTAAGTAAATTTACTGTAATTAAAGTATGGGCTTCGATTGTTGACACGCAGTCCTACCCAAAGTACGCATACAACTATGGCGTTAATGACCCGCACACCGGGGACGTGAAGTCGGCTTACGAAGAACGCGACGGTGACGTCGTGAAGGGCTCCTACACAGTGAACGAACCCGATGGCACAATAAGAGTCGTTGAGTACACGGCCGACGATCACAATGGCTTCAATGCCGTCGTCAAGAAGATCGGCCACGCGGTTCACCCGACGCCCATCCACGAGGACCATCACGACCATGGCTACGGTCTGGGATACCGCTATGGCCAAGGCTACGGCCATGGCCTCGGCCACCTCTACGATAAGAAATAGGATCTAGAGAGACCGATGGATTGTAGTTTAAGTTCTCGAGTCCAGGCCCCGATGCTTCCTGTGTCTGGCACATCCTAAACTCGAGACCTCGAGTGCACCACGCCTAAGGATGTGACGTTGAGCCGCTCGGGCTAGAGCCAAAACAAGCACGAGGGATATCATTTTGTAATGTGTACCTTTTTGTCGTGTACTATGGGCTCGACGCACGATACTCGCGTAGCCAAAGTCTTCTGTTACTTCATCTTTCTTTGTTTTTTCTTTTCTTTTTTTCTTCATCTTTTTTTTATCGAGTTAAATAAAGTACTTTTACATAAAATAATGAGTAAATTTCTATTTCTTTCCGCTTTATACGGGCTACCCAACATCTTCCCAATACCAATTGTCCGTTCGCGTGCGCTTCATATTTTACAGAAGTTTTAGAATTGCTTCTGCTATTTTTATGAATTCTCTTCGAAAATATCAATGCTTCTTACAACGGAGCTTATATAAAAATAAAATCGCCGTTCAAATTGCGTTAATTGATTTTAATGATTTTCTTCTCTTTATGTAATTCAACCGAACAGGGGCAATTACGGGCGCAATGGCTTATTTACAGTTTCAACATTTAACAGAATTTTATTTACATTATATTAATCAATCTAAGAATATTACATGAAACTAATAAGCATTATTGTAATTTATATAAGAAAAACCGTTATATTAAAAGATTTTTTTAAATATATTTTCTGAAAACTATTATTGTATTTTATACCAATACTTTATACTATTATTTAATCTTTCACTCTGTCTGTATCTCTCTCTCTCACTCTCTCTCTCTCTCTCTCTCTCTCTCTCTCTCTCTCTCTCTTCCATTATCAAAAATATTTAAATTATTGTCGCGAATGATTAAAGTACACCTTAACAATTATTGAATTTATGTGAAAATATTTTAATGTACGGATTTTAAATTAAAAAGACAAGAAATTTCTGTGAAAACTCTATACTATTAGTTAAAAATATGGAAATTCATACTCACATATAATGACAATGTTAGACTTTTTTTATACAAATAAATTAACTTTCTGAATAAAATAATTCTTGAGATATTAGTAATTGATCGTATAAAATCGTTCACATATAATAACTATTCCTCTTATTAATTCAATTTTTGTTATTTTTATCTTCATAGTTATAAATTATGATTGTGCAGGCATATATTTATATTTATCGAAATTGTAATTATCTAGTTAAATCTTGTTTTTTCATAACAATCAATAATAATAAAAAATTATTTAAAAAGATAGCGAGTTTGATTTCAAATTTTTACCTTTTAGATCTTAGCGCGTTAAACTCATTTTCTTGCCATTTTCATTATTTACTTATAATAAATTGCAAAAATTGCATATTAGCTTAATGCAAATATTTCGAAAAGTAGTCAGAAATTTCCTTCAATTTGCTGTGAATGCTTTCAAACCATTTGAATTTAAAAAAATCTTAACAACAAGGTATTTTATTCCTTTTTAAACAATCCATGAATAATTCAGTATACTTTGTAAATCAGAATGTTTTGTTAATTGCAATCTCACTTCCTAAAATTCTAATCCTAAATTAAAGAAAATGTAGGATTTTGTGCGAGTATTTTCATATAAATTTTACTTAGCTACAAAGAGTATATGATTTTATTCGCATTAAAGAAATTTTGTATTATTGCCTAAATCAGCTGCATAAGTCAACAAACCTCGTCAATATATTTACGAATTCAAAATTCTTATTCTATTCTATTTTTGTTTGTCGTCTAATTCGAACATTTGTAAAATTATTCAACCCTCATTGAGATGTTTACACGTATGCTTAGATGCTCTTATGTATTTACGCGCAGGCAAAGTCAACTTATAAGCATTTAAGCAGCATTTAATATTTTTCTCAAATAATTTCCTATTATCAGCTCATCGGGTATTCCATCATTAAAACTCGTGGCTTCCTTTACGATCCTTCGATGAAAATGATGCAATGACTTTTAAACTTAATAGGTATAAAGTGGTTTTCATGTTCTCATTGTTCATTTTTAGATTAAATCAATTTTCTCTTATCTATGGAAATTAGTGGATAAATAAATAATATTGAAGATATATTAAACGGTAGGTGTTGAAAAGTAATGAAATGATTTTAACATTTTTATTCGAAAATAAATAAAATAAAAATTTTATTCTTACGATTTGTAAGAAAATAACTTATTTAAAATGTATTGTATCATTAGATTTGCAAAGCTTTTCTTAGTAAAGTCAAATTTTGAATAATTTTTTTATGAACCAAGATGGCCAGAAAAATTAACGAAACCCTATTATTTATTACTAAATTTTTCTCATATCATATGTTACCTTGGAATTTTAATTGCAATGACTATACATTGTTTTAATAACGTATAATTATTTTTTCCTACGATTTAACATTCCGATTGTCGCAACCTTCTCGCGAAACGTGTTTAAAAATTAATTTACCTTAAATACAGTGATATCAGAGCTTTTTAAAATAAAGTTTCACCTCGTCTCTAAATAAATATCTACGTATAAACGATGACACATTCGCACGTACGTGTAAATAGATAAAATATGAATATAAATGCAAAATGATTTCGAAATATATAAATATGACATTTTTTTTAAACAATTTGTTAATTATTAATTTTTAAATTATTCAAATATTTTCATTTGCGTTACGTAAATAACAATATTATTCATAGTATTTTAATTGTGTTTATTTTTATTGATTAAGCTCAGAACATTCGTTACTCACCTAAACTTTTTATCTACATTTATATTCGTGTCAGGATTGCAATTATTTATCATGTACTTCGAACTTTCCTTCGTTAAACAATAATTATTTAATCACTGTTTCACAATTATATTATCATTGTTAAAAGAAATTTTGCATGATATCTAATATCCAAGAAATAAGATTTATAACTGAATCGAATTAATTATATTAAGCCAATTATCTCACACATTTATTACTTTAATGAATTTCATTAGGATAATAAATTTCATTAATTGATTCTATAATATCTATTAATAGATAGTTAATGTAACTTTCTCAAAACATAATAAATTTCATTAGTATATTTTCATTGGTATGTATATCAAGAAATAAATAACACGAAGAAATGATAAAAGATAACTTACCCAAGCTTCGTCAAAAAGTTTGTGGGCAATTATGCTTGTACTTTCAAACATATCCCTTCCAGGACCAGAAGAAAAGCATCTTTCTTTTTCACCGTCACAAGTGTACTGCAAAGTGCAAGGATTACCGGTAAATTCGCATTTTGGGCCACGCGTATTAGGCGATACATCTCCCAAGTTCGAAGATGCAAAAGCTGCCACAAAGCTACCCTAGAATAATTATAAAATTGATAAGTTTATTAATTATTGTTCCGTTAAGGCTATTACTTACTAGCCTTTGCTTTGAAGTTGGGCGTATTTGAGATTATTAATTTTAAAGTAATTAAAAAGTAAGATATGTTTTGTAAATAAAAACTCTTTCAATCATCTCGCTTATTATTAAGTATTCAAAAGTTTCATTGTCAGCCGATTATATTAATATAAGTGATTTTACTTCGTACATAATTATAGATACAATTATGACGATAGCTCGTTTATTTAAACATAATCGTATATCGCGTGGAATTTATGTGCGCCTTCGTAGCGGCAACCTGTCTTACAATTGCGTATACGTAGTCACAGTATGATGGGTATGACATTGTAGCATTATTAATAATATTGTAGTTTATATTTATGCACATCGCTAATGTCGTTAGTCAATAACGTGAACTGTATCTTGGTAACTTTGCTAATATAAACGAATATTCTTTTCTATATGCAAATATATAATGGCCAGCAATGTTACACGAAAATGATAAAATTAAAACTGAATATAATTAATACATCGTAGTTTGCTATAAAATTTATACTTATTAAACGCTCTCTCGTAGAAAAGCGGTTACGAACACCCCCCCCCCCCCCTCCTCTACCTCCTCTACCTCCTATCTCCTACCTCCTATCTCCTATCTCCTACCTCGTTGATTTAAGGTGATACAATAATTTTACCTTTCCTATCATGTTGTTTTTGTTCATTTTCTTTTCAAAAAGAACAGATGCATAACCGACATTATCACTAGATACCAGATGATTGGTATTGTTCATGCTAGTTGGGTGAACGGCGAACCAATTGATGACTCCAAGTGGCTGGCCATTCAATGCTATGAATTGCAATTGCATCAAATCCTTGTCTACGTTATACTTGTATCTGAAGTAAGAAAAATTGATTGGTTATCATAGCCAGAAGCAAATGGAACATTGGGTTTAAATTTTGAGAATTTTGAGAACAAAGAAAAGAGTTTTGAAAGATGGTTTTATTGAAAAATTCATACTTTAAGTTCAGATCGTCGATCAAAGCTCATTTGATTCTAGCAAGTAAGCAAATACAAATTGGCCAATATAAAATTACTTGCATTGCAATATAATTACCACATTCATGTCTGTGGCATATAGAAGCTTAGTAAAAAAATAATAACAGTGCTTTCGTAGTAATTATTGCTACTTTTATAAATAGAATAGTTAGTAAAACACTTTGAAAGATGTCAAATTTAAATATTTATAAATTATACTCGATCGATAGTTTATTACATCGTTAAAATATTGAAATACTGTATTACTATTTCAAAGACATCGATCAATGTTTCAATTTAATCACTAACTGCGTTAGTTGATATAATTTTCTTTTTAGTTAATACGACATTACAGTGACACTTACTCACAATTACAAACGATACGCGAAGAAATTATTACTGTAATTTCAGGTTTATTAATGTGTTTTGAAATGAACTTCAAACGTACGCTAAAATGTAAAATGTCCAAATAAATGACATTACAACAAAAGTGTTATTTACAAAATCGAGGAAAATAAATTAAAATCAATGAAATTTATAGCAATTAATTACTTTGGCGTGGATAAACCAGCAATAGTAAAATGTAAGCAGCATCTACTAATTACGCACGTAGATAAAGAATTGAGATAAAATTTACTTTTCTCTTTCCTCCCGAGGATTGTTCAAATAAGCTAATGGACTTCGATTGATATTAGCGTCTAATACTTCACCACGAATAATGAATATCCGTCCCGGAACAATAGCGTTATGGGCCTTGTCTATACTCTGAAATGGAAGTAAGCAATTTAAAAATCATATCAGTCCAATAATTCATTTGCACCTCGCATCATCAAGCTCTGCCTCAATTAATTCATGTACTACGCATACCTTGGTAATGCCATTGACTAGAGCAGTGAACGATTCCTTCACGAAACCGTAAGTAGAAATGTCGAAGAGCACGTCCATCATAAAACCGCCTGGACTCGAGTGCGTATGAGTCCCGCTTATCATGACATTAGTTTCCGTGTATAAATTGTTGTAATGCGACTCAAGATTGCGCAGAACCTGCGAAAAATAATTCATTGGTATTAAGGGATTTTATGCACAGTAATGAAATTGTATTGTAATTGCTGGAAAGTTAAAGAAATAACAATGCATGAAGAGTAATATTGTCCCACTGCAATCACACAATGTTTTCTTAACTTATAGTATAGAAAAGAGTATAGAAAATTAAATTTATCCATTTCGCTTAACTTAATACAAAGTAGTACTATCTCAATTTAGAGAGGGCACATATGAATTTTAAATTGTAATAATTGTCAGAATAAAATTTAAAACGCTTATTAATGTTTCTTTGAGACTTTACGAAAGTATACAAAATCATCAATGAAAAATTTAATATTTCTAAAGTACTCGCCAATATTTATTATACTCTTGGAAGATGTTAATGCCAATTCTATAAAGTAATTTTGCTCGATACTTAATACACACGAAAAAGATGCATTATCAAATCTTTTTATGAATTTATATTGAAAAAAAAAATCATTAATTTAATTTACTTTCGAATAATTACGTTTATATTGTCTGAAAGTAGTATCGCATACTTTTAAATATTCACATTTTTTTTAAAAAATACTTCCTATTTTATTGTTGTTTTTTTTTTTGTATTTTTTCTTTTTCTTTTTTTTTTTTTTTTTTTTAATTTAATAAACTTGATTGAAATAATTTGTTATAATACTTATTGTATTACTATCAAAATAATATTCATTAATAATATGTATTAATATTATTACTTGAAAATACTGCGTGTTATCTTTAATATGATATTATAAAGTACAAATATAAACATAAATTTAAGTGAAATAACATTCAAGTTGTACTGTTCTATTCTCTGAGTAATTGTAACTCTTTAAATAAAAGCAGCATTATTTTCATATGATTACTCTCTTTTTGGGACTTATAATCTTTTCTAATGATAAATGATATTTGAAAAAATAAAATATAAACTTTCAGATATCATAGAATCGAAAAAAGCTTTATGTGACGTATCTGTATATTAATTACCAGATTATCAACGCTAAAGAGTTACAAAAATTTTTAAACCCTAATTTCAATGATAATTGAAAATACAAATTTTTACTTTTACGGGCATTCGACGATTATATTATCATTTTAAAATACTATTCAAATGAATTACTAATCGTCTAGCTAAAACTTTTTTCCGTATAATTAATTGTAAAAATATACATAGTTGTAAAATCATAATAAAAAATAAACAAAAAATTAATATAATAAATAGATGAATGAAAGTAGAAATGTAATGGGTGACTTTTTTTATTTATTTATGTGTCATCTGCATTTTTAATTAATTTATTTTACAATTTTTTTTTTTTTTTTTTTTTTTTTTTTTTTTTTTTATTTATTGATTTAACTTAAATGATACTATAAAGCTCATAATCATTATATGCTATAAACGTAATTGTATGTTATATCACCCATTATATTATTTGGACATTATGCAAACCATTATATTTGACTTAAGTATTTAATATCATGTGATCGTTAACATAAACATTATTTCAGTATAAAACAAAAAAAAACTTGAAATAGTAATGATATTGCAACTGATGTTATTGATAAAAAAATAAGATGCTTATTGGATTGTAAATTTCATTAAAAAGAAAAGTTATATTTGAATTTTATATAACTGACGTATACACTTTAAAACATAAATTTCAAAAAATAAGTAACTATCATAGAATTTACTTATTCATATATACTCATATATGTATAATGTTTATAGAGCTTTAATTGATTTTCGTAAAATATAATTGAGCAAAGGAAAAGCAAAGTTAAGAATGCCGTATTATGAACTTAACCTTTGCAAAGTAAATCGTTATAATTTTCGGTCTAATGTTTATTTAAAAAATTTAGAATTATAATTATATTAGTAATGCAGAAGCATCTGTGTTTTAATAAAATACATATCCGTATTATTATTATAAATTACATACATGTATGCAATTAAATATATGTATATGCATGTAACTATAGGGATAATTAATTATACAATATGAATTTTATGGCAACCAGAGCTTGAAAATGAAGTATTTAGACTGAATGTCTAAATTATGGTTTTAAGAGATTCCAAAGCAAGTATTACAATTATTATAATAAATTATAATATATTGATGAATGTGAGTACTAGATTTATATGACATTCCTACGAGAATTTCGACTATCGTGAAAATGAATATAAATTAATTACAAATTTTATTTTTATCACAAATATTATTTGATCCTCACGTTATAATCGATCATTTAACATGAAAATATGCTTTATATATTTATACTTTGCATCTAAGTGAAAAATATGCATTATAAAATACATTTCTAAAAGGATGTACTTTCGAAACACTGGAGGATAACGGTAATGATTGAAAGAGATTCATAATGATTTAGTTTTAGAAAAGAAAAAAAAACAAAGAATTAATTAAGTTTTGTATTTAAATTCAAGGATAGCTTCATTATCAAGAAATTTATTAATTTTTTATTTGAATATCTCTTTTTCAATTTACTGAGTAAGATTAAATTACAAATTGTATAATATGAAGATGTAATGAAATTATCTAAATAATTTATGTACGGAAAACAAAAAAACATGTTTACCTTTGATTAAAATCTTAGATTATTACTCAAAAAAATTTTCAATTTCAATATTTATGACGTTACTTTTACTATGGAATTAATTTGAATAATTTAATAATGACAAAATAAATGCTCGTAAATAACGACGTGACTTCTCAAGGACTTGGATTATATTCTACATCACATGTTAATTTTTGTATGTGTTATCTCAAACCACGTAGAATCGTATAGAACAATAATGATAAATTAGTATAATAGAATTTTAAATAGTGGCTATAATCTTAAAATTGGTATTATCTCAAAATGCTGAGAATTCCATATATAATAATAGCAGCTCGTCTTACACGCTGAATTAAGAATTTAAATAATTACTTATCAATTTATTCTATTTTGTACAATATGATAAGATGATGGATATTAGGCAAAACAATGCTCGGCGATAGCGAAATTCAAAAGATAGCGAGCTGCCATAAATTTGAGACACGCCATATGATAAATAATAATGAACTCATTCGTGATAAAAACTCACCGCCGCTTTCACATCGTGGCCAATCATCGCGCTATCGACCGAAACGAAAACGAATCTTTGTTGGCCATCATCAATAATAAAAGACCGTGCAAATGTCCTCAAATGAAGTCCGCTTCCCTTCTGATCCATCTTCGCATAGCCCATCTTTAATAAATACAAAATATATATATATATATATATATATATATACATATACATATAAGAAAAAATTAAAAAATAAACGCATTATATTTTATTAATGCCTTCTTAATCGTTTAATATTATTACTTGGAGCATATTTATTTACAATTGCATCTAGAGAATTCAAAAGTCATACGAAAAATAAAATAAAATAATCCTTTCATAATTTCGTTGATATAAATGTTAAATTACAAATATTTATGTTTAGCTAATACGACGGAATGCAATTCCTAATGTTCAACTGCAAGTATAAATATTGAAATAAATAAATAAGCAAATATTATAGAATAGTATCAGTATTTGTTTTCAACAATAGTCCTATTCAATGTATTGTATCGGCTTATTAGTTCTTTTCTCTATATTAGATAATAAGAAATTAGCGAATTATTATAATTGGAAAAGACCGTTTATATTCAATGAGTCATTAGAAAGGACATTAGAAGACTCACAAAGACGACTTCGGCAACTGGACCAGTCGTGTCGGAGATGCCAATACCGATGCTGTAAGATGAAGCTGCGCTCGGCATAAGCAATCCAATTAGCAAGCAAATCATAATTAGACCACATTTTCCTAGCCACAGCCCAAGTCCTAAGGAATCCATTCAATCGCCTGTTCTTTCAATCGCACCAAACGATTCCACTGAAATTACAATGGAAATGATGATGTATCTGTTTATCTGTTTTATTTATTATAGCTTGCCTCTTATCATATTATTGTTTAATATCGAAAACATGATTTTCATTATCATTTTAATCGTGTTAATATCTCAATGATCCGTATTTATATTATCATTAATGTATAACGTGAAAATATTGTATGATAAGTGCTTTTTGTTATACTTTAGTGCTTGGCAAGAATAACATCTATTACGATCAAATAATAAAAGCATTTTTCCAATACTTATTTTAACCTTACTATTATTGTTTATGAAATTTTATTAACAAAATATCGAGACTCGTTATTCTAGCATCTCAACATTAAATATTGATACTTTGCAAACTTTAACAGATTTTTTTCGTTAATTTCCACTAAAGTACTTTAACACTACAACACTAAAGTACGAACAATAATTTTTCCTTCTTACCTCGATTGTTAAACTTATTTTTCATTAAAAAAATTAGATATATATATATATGCATACGTGTGTCCGCGTGTCTCTGTATATTTGCGTGTGCGTCTGTATATATAAATTTATATTTGGTAATATATTTACAAGTAATAAAGCTTGTAATTCAACAGGATTTATAAAACGATTACTTATTTTGATCCATTAATAAGATTAAATATTATAATGTTTTCAAATATTTACTCTTCTTTTTTTCTTTTTTTTTTACAACATAGCTTAAACAGATATGCAAAAACAATTATTGAAATCTGTTAAGAATTTTTCATTTTAATATACAATCGTTCAGATTAATATCATAATACATTTCAATATTTTAGTGTAATATATATTATAATTATTAAGCTTTCATCATTAACAAACTTTTTTCAAAAACTATAAAATACCTTATATTAGTTCTATCTAAGTAGCATTACTTTCAGTCATTTATATTTTACATTCAAACGATATTTTAGATTTTAATAAAATAGTATTTAATAAAATTTATAAATCAATGTTCAATCATTAAATGAAAACATCATACCGTAATATTATTTGATGTTGCTTGCACTCTGATTATGTAAACGCATGTAAAAATATAAATCAAGAAATAAAATTTCAAAATAATTAATTAAATTAGAAGCAAATGATATACTATTTATACATCAATATACTTCACATATATTAAAATGAATAAATTTAAGTTTTTGAAGTACTTTAAAATAATTGGTAATTGTTATGGAATTATTGCAAAATTCTTACCAATTATTGATTTTATTACAATATTTGATCAAACTAACTAATAATCCGTTTAACTCTTTTTATAAATTAATAACATCAAATATTTTATATATTATAACATTGGCCATAATGATACCATATAATTAATGAATATATCATAAATATATATGTGTGTGTGTGTGTGTGTGTGTGTGTGTGTGTGTGTGTGTGCTAAATAACTTTTTGTGTATTCATCTTAAAATTATATATTAGTTTAATTTATTTCAAATATAAAAAAGCAACCAATTCATTTAATGCTCTACCAAATAATCTATATATGTTTTATGTTTAATCTCAACCAATAATGAATTATAAATTAAAATGAAGCTGTATAAATTATAAAGCTTATAAATCAAAACTGCTGAGTAAAATATTGTAAAATTATTAAATTTTCATTTGTGATATGTGTGTGCTATTATAATATTTTTATAGTTACTAAATTAATAATGATACTTATATGTTTATAACATCTGTTTGATACATGAGCCTAATAATCGGAGTATACTCCTAATTTTGCTTATAATTATAAAATAATTATTTTATTATGTGTGAAATTTACATATTACTAATAATGTGTACGGCATAAATAATTATACATATTTGTATTGCAAATATTATCAGCCAATGGACATTTTTTTTCTGTTTATTTGAGACAATAATTCAAACACTGTTATAATGAGAGAAAATTAAGAACAAAATCTTTCCTTATTTGACAAAGATTCAATTAATTCAATACGTAAATATTAAAGTACGATGATAATAAGTACAATTAATAGTAAATGTTGATATTGTCGATTATCCTAAAAAATATGTTAAGCTTATATCGTTATGTTAACAATGAACTTTAATATTTGGATACTTTCTGAATTATTATTTGAAAAATAATATTTATTCATGATTTTGGAGAAATACTAATAATACATAAATTTGTAAATTATTTCTCATAAACGTGTCAAAGTTTTTCATTACCGTGGTTTTCTAAAAAATATATCTACAATATATAAACATGTCTCAAATCAACGAATACATATGTTTAGAAATAATTTACTTAAGAAATATATTAAATAAAATTTAATTAAAAATATGCTTGGAATCCAAACATATTAAATAACATGAAAATATAAAAATCTCACCAATCTAATGCAATTAACCAATACTTTTTTTCCTTTATGCCACTAAAATGTATAACATACGATATTCAAATAATTCTTTAAATTATTAGAAACTTAATATTAATTACAATTCATAATTGATTTTCCTTTTATTATTCATCTATCGTCAATATAGTATGAATATTCACAAAATGGTTATGAAAAATAATCAAATGTGCTTTAAATGAGAATAAGAAACGAAGATATAATTAAAAATGATTTTAAAGAGGAAATGAAACGAATGGAAGCTATAAATTACACCGAAATAAACATAATGAAACAAAATATGTCTTTTTGCCTTTTATATAGTACAGCTCTAGTACCAAATGGCCTTGAATTACCGTCTAACAGTAGTCAATAACTATGTAAAAATAAGCAATTTTCTTCAAATACACTCTAATTGCGATATAATTTTAATTACTATTAAATACATACAAAAAGTAATTATATAGCCAATACTGATAAAATAAAATTGCAATATATATATATTAAATAAGTGTACAAGCTAATTATGAGATATGATCATTATGAAATAAGATACTAAACTTTAATTCTATTAAAAGAAAATTTAAATTATTCATAAAAGAATCTATTAATAAATAATTACTTTTATAATTAAAATATATATAATTTAAAAAGTTTAATTATATTTGGATCTATAAAAATATCAAAGAAGGTCATTTTTTTATCTAAATAAACATCAATACCAGATTAAGTATTCGAGTAAAAATAATGTAACATAATAAACTAATTAAGACATTGAATCTTATAAATTATTTTGTTAACAAATATTTAAAAAAAAAAGAAAAAAAAAAGAAGAAGGTTTTCTCCGATTTTACATTTGACTTTAATTTTGATTTGACTGCACTTTATAATACCATCCCTTCGAAAATTGAGCCGAAGAATGTTTTGAAGTCAAACTCCACGATTTGTGTCATACGACTGCTCATTATACTTCAGTAGTACTTAATTTTTAAGTTTAATTTTGTAAATAAATCTTAATTACACGTTATACGAACGTCGCGATTTCTACCTTTCTCAACATGCTTTCCGATAATAAAATTTTATACTGATTATTATACTTGAATTCGTTTTAACATTTTACTAATAATGCAATCTGAGCCAACACATATCTCTTACTTATTACGTAACTCAAGAAATTAATGTAAATTTATGAAAATAGTAAAATAAACGCACATTAGTTCCATTTAAGTACGTTAGTGAAAATACTTGTTAATTTTATTTAAATAATTTTAATTAAATTTTCTTTTTATTGTAAAAATAATTGTTAATAAAGTTTGTTCACGGGTGTAGAGGTATATTTATGTAATCATAAAATTAATTTAAACGACAATATATTCATTATTATAGATATATGATGAAATTCTTAAAATATAATGTAATAATGGAAAATCTTTGTGTTTTACTACAGGTAGGATTTAATTGAAAAAATGCCAGATAAAGTTTCTTTAAATAAATTTTATACATTGGAAACTTTAATGTATTTTCTTACGTGCATTTATTTACGCACAATTTATTTCAAAAACATATATAATATTTATTATACTCACTTTTATAAATTCATTTGTAAAAAATTGAATAAATTTCAATACATACAATTGATTTTGAAGTAATGTATAAAAACACTGCTATTATTTATAATAAATAATTTTCTATAAATATAGAGTTTTAAATGAATATTTTCTCTTTCACTAAAAACCGGCTGTAATACCAGGTCAACTTTCACATAATGTTTTTCCGTATAATTATTTGTAATTACACAATGTTTTTCCTATGTCATTTTTATTTCTATCGGGTAAAATTCACTTCGATATGTATAGCTTTCTAAGAGTTTACCTTCTTAGTTACTTTCTGTTGTATTGATAAAACAAATTTTAAATTTCAAATGGTCATTTATGCAAGAAACAGGCTACATGAATTTAATGTATTCAAATAAGCAATAAATAAATTTGTGAAAAACATTATCCATATGGATAATATAATTATTTTTTTTTTTTTTTTTTTTTTTTTTTTTTTGTAATTCTATGTAAATGTTATTATAGGCCATCGAAAGCAAGTAAACAAATTAAACGAGGAACCTAATCAAACTGTGATATTTAGGCGATCGTGTATAGTTGAAATAAAGATTTTACCGATCAAGTTATTTCAAACTTTTTAAAAGAATACATAAGAATTTAAACAGGTATATGCAACCCGTATAATGCGAAATAACGAGTCTTTATGTCATAATTTTATGGCTTCCAAATAAAATATTAGTAATACCATAGATACAGGTTTTAGACAAACAATAAGTTAAAAATATTGTTTAAATAGGGTAAGAATGGAAGGTAAAATTACACGATTTTATTTTCTTTTATTTTTCAAACAACAAGTTAAATTTATAATAAATAATTTTTAAATGTTCTTTCATGGTATATATTAATGGTAAACGATAAAAGTGATCAGTGACATCTGATATGACATACTTCTACAAAGATGTTTCCTATGTCACGAATTGCATAAAATAGGCTTCATTTTAATGAATTTTTCGAACCAATAATTGTAATTAATAAAATCAAATAATAAAATAAAGATATAAAAAACTA